TACCATCCAAGCCTGCCACACCAGTCGCTCTTCCTCCCGGTCGACCCTTTTTTTTTTCGGGGCCCTTTCAGCATTGGCGTGGCTCCTTTCTCAATTCCTTCCCCTTCCTGCTGGGCTTACCCGAACGTCCCTCGCTGTTGTCTTCTTGCCCTCGACAAAACTTCTGGCCAAAATCATCTCGCGTTCCCTTTGAGGACTTCAACTAGGTTGGAAGAGCACGAAAGTACACCTTTGCACATTCGCCTTGACACCGCGAACCGCATCACACTGCACACTACCTCATCCTTCCACGGGATCCCTGATACTGAGTCGTCCTGCTATCTCTAGACCTCTCAGCCCTTATCAATTCAATCGACGACCTTTTGGCTTTCGTCAGCCTTGGCCCACCCCCTTCTGGAGAGTGTGTGCTGCAACCACTGCTGTCTATCGGACGACACGAAACTGCCCAATCAGTTAACCTCCTGCTTCCGACCTCACCAACTTGCTTGTCGACTCGGACTTGTCTTGGGGAGGCTTGTGTTACTTTTATCTTTTGTCTGCGCGACATCACTGACCGTCGGCCGCCCTTAAGCGATACGCGCAGCCTTCAATCTGGCGCAACGACAACGACGATAGTGAATAGCGACAACCTCTAGAGGACGCTCTCACGTCTGCAATTCTGCGACTGTGGACACTCGCTGTGCCGGGGTACCCATCGGTCATTCTCTTCTTTCTATAAAGACGTGTTTTTCGGGTGGTGTCAAAGACCACCCTTTCATTCTCAGGAGCCATGCTTCTCCCCAAAGGCGGAATCAACTGGAAGTCTGCCCAGGCCAGACTACCTCCCACCAGAGCAGTATGGTCTTTCTTGACTAGAACGCGCTTCCTTCTCCTCGTTGCCCTGACCGGCACCATTCTGCTATTATGGCGCGGTATTCGCTCGTCAGCTTCGGAAATGCAGAGGTATGTTGTCACCGACTGGGCGAACCTCCCTGTCCAGGGGGCGTGATATTTCCCTGCGATGCGCCGCAGAAATAACAGCTTGCTGACTTGCGATATCGTGCAGCTTCTACTGCTGGGGCCCCGCGAAACCCCCCATGGAGATGTCTCTCAATGAGCAAGCTTCATGGGCCGGTCACCTCCAGACCCCCGTCATCTTCAACCACCACGAGCCCCTGGAGATCAACCATACCTCCATTATCCACGTTGACCTCAACCCCATCAAGTCCACGCGCAAGGCCGTTACCAACGAGGAGCGCGTCCTGATCCTCACGCCTCTCAAGGATGCTGCTCCGTACCTGTCAAAGTACTTTGAACTGATCGCCGAGCTTACGTACCCTCACCACCTGATCGATCTCGCCTTCCTTGTCGGCGACTCCAACGACGATACCCTCGCTGTTCTCGGTTCCGAGCTGGACCGCATCCAGCGCCGCCCTGACAAGATCCCCTTCAACAGCGCCATGGTTGTCGAGAAGGACTTTGGCTTTGAGCTTAGCCAGAGCGTCGAAGAGCGCCACTCGTTCAAGGCTCAAGGTCCCCGACGAAAGGCCATGGGCAAGGCTCGCAACTATCTTCTTTCTGCTGCCATGAAACCTGAGCACTCTTGGGTCTACTGGCGTGACGTAGACATCGTTGACAGCCCCAAGAAGATTCTCGAGGATTTCATTGCCCACGATACCGATATCCTCGTGCCGAGTAAGTACACAATTTGTACAGCAATGACATGGAAGATGTTAACAATCTGTAAGACATTTGGTTCCACCGCTACCGCGATGGCCGTGACATCGAGGGTCGCTTCGACTACAACTCTTGGGTTGAGTCTGACAAGGGCCGCAGACTATCAGCTAGCTTGGACAAGGACATTGTCCTGGCCGAAGGTAAGGGATACTGCTCCAGGTGCCCATAGACAGATACTAACATTATACGACTAGGTTACAAGGAGTACGATACTGGACGCAGATATATGGCCAAGGAGGGCGATTGGCGCAACAATAAGGATGATGAGCTCGAACTCGACGGAATTGGTGGCGTCAACATCCTCGTAAAGGGCGATGTCCACAGATCAGGTTGGTATATATTGTGCCCGGAGTACCAAGCTTTTTCTAATTTTTGCAGGAATCAACTTCCCGTGTTACGCTTTCGAGAACCAGGCCGAGACAGAAGGCTTCGCCAAGATGGCCAAGCGCGCCGGTTACCGTGTTGTCGGTCTGCCCAACTACGTCGTATGGCACATTGACACAGAGGAGAAGCCTGGAAACGCATGATCTCATTGAGGATGCGTTTTAGCCTAATTCCTTTCGATTGTACGACAATTTTCTCCGACTTGGTCCGCGGAATGCGGCTGACGGAGCACAGCACTGTATGACCACGTAACGATACACACACACGGTACTTGAGAGCGTTTCACGAGGAGGCATTTCCGGATACTGGTCCCAAGCTTTTTGGCCCGCGAATGATGGGTGAGAGGCTAAAGTATTGGTATTTGCCTCGGCTGCTCTGGTAACCACAAGTTCGACTTTGCGCCACAGATATAGCCATCGACAGACCTGACCTTTCTTTGGCTCGACGTCGACTACTTGAATGAGCTGGCCATGAAATGCAAGACGGACGAAAACAGGAGGGATGCTCTTTTGGCGACTCATACCACATGAAAGGATGCCTCGCTGTAATAATAGATTTGGTTATATCAACTGTTAGCATAGGAGGGGGAAAGGAGGCGCCCAACATAGGAAGGGGAGCCCCCTTTTCAGCCTCAGACTTTGGGATGTGGTGACGCTAGCAGCACTTTGTGGAGAGAAGGATTGCTTGGTGAAGTTTTCTCTCGACGAATGAGTGTGATATCTAGGGTATGAGGAAACTCGGGAGTTCAAAGAGGCGTAATTTATACATTTTGATTTGTACCGAAACCACTCTCTACCGTCTGTCATGTAAGATATGTTGGCCTATGTACCATGGTCTATGGCCCGGCGGCAGTGGCAGCGGCAGCTGGGCAGGGCCAGAAGCTGGCTGATTCTAATTAGGCGAAGGTTATTTGCCATCAAGAAACCTGCTCGACATGGGACTGTTGATTGATTCGGCCTCTCCGCCCAATGGTCGTGAACGATTATGATCATATACTTGCAGCTAATAGTCTCATTTCCACTTTTGGAGAAGAAGCAAGATCCCCATGCCGTGCTGTGGCTCAGAGCAAGCAGAAGTAAGGCACTCGTCGGGTAAAGGCCTTGCCTTACGCGCAAGTAATGTCGTGATTGCCTTCATCCCTGTGCTGTTCTCTGATGAAGTTGGGGAAGAGGCGTCTTTCTATGTAGTTGAGGAAATACTTCTCACTGTGTCGAACGTTTCTCCTCGTGAGCACCCCAGGGTCTTCCGGTTTGACGGGAGCAATCCACGAACAAGACCTGACCGGTTCCGAGGTACCTAAGGTCATTTGTCACCAACCTCTCCCTCCTCATCTCCCTGTTCTTTTTCTCTTTGCATGTTTTTCATCTCAAAGGGGGCTATGGTTCAGTGTTTCTGTATGGTTTGCGGAGAGTCATGTTCGTTCGCCCGGAAGACAGTTCAACTCCGTGGGCTTATTCGTCTTGCATGTAATCTCATGTTCAGCGATGACCTCATGTTTCGAACCCTCTCGGTTATGGCTGTGCTTTAAGCCCGAGATGCATTGAAAGGAGATGGCTAGCTACTTCCACTATTGATATGGGGCGTGTCTGGATATTTGCCACTTCGCTCGAGTGGTGTTGTGTTACTTATCATATCAGCTCGGTGCTAGCAGAGTACAAATCATGTAGAAAGGGGGTACTTGAAGCAAGTGAAAGCCACAGCGCAGCATTAAACTCAGCCGGCTGTTCTTGGATTCATTGAACAGCATAGGAGTGCTCATATCATCTTGGGCAACCACTTTGGCCGAGTGATCGAGTGGTAAGCACGAGATACCGTGTCGGCATTAGAGGGAACAGGGTCTCTGGCAATCATCACCCTGCCCGAGTAATGAGCGGTATGTCACAATCTCTCATTCTCCATCCTGAGGAAATGTGGATGGTTATGATGTGCAGTGACGCGGTGCTTATTCTAGAGAACTCTCACATGTATACAGGCATCTCTCAAGATATGTAACACTGGCAGAACCCTATTCCTGCTGTAAGTGAACAGGACGCCATGGATCCGGATTTGTTTGGGTAGTCTTGCTGATTACGATGAAGAAGAGCAATGAGTCAGCACTTCTCTAAAGACGGTTCCTTGTATTAGTGGGTGGATTGTCAAACATGGTAGCTGAAGGGCGATGTGAGATATACTTCATTCATCTGCCTTCTGTACACATGCTTGAAGTCGCCGCATAGGGTGCTACCAGTAACTAGACTCTGGCAAAATATCTGACTTACTATGGTTCAGTATCAAGAATAAAAAATCTAGTTGCAGGTGTTGCGTAGGGAAGAACTCAAAGCCTATTCTTGCACTTCGATTCCTGAACATGCACATTGCCGTGCAACCTCTCATTCAAATTAACCCCCTCACGTGTAGGTCAATAGCGCAGGCTGGAAACAAAGATTTCTCACTGCGTGAACACCCTGATATCATTGATTAAAGTAGAAGGCCCCGTACCTCGATCGTACCCAGTTGCAGTCGTGATGCTGATGCCAACTGTTAACCACGTCTCAGCAACCACAACATATGCATTGCAGGTTCGTGAGAGATCCTGCCAATTAGATCGCGCAGATGGTTGTATGCAAAAAAAAAGTGGTTGGCGATCAATTGAAATGGCAAGCGATAGAAACATTACGCCGACTATCGCTTACGAGATGTCGGTTGCGAGTTCCCAGGCGATGGAAACCTGACATGAACCAGCAACAACAACATCAGTGTAAGTTCATCAACGTCGCCAAAGAAAGTCGTTACTCATGATGTTGATGTACCTGTGTGGGTCTGTGGGTTCCAACCAGTGAGAGTGCGTACAATGTCAGCTAGCTTCCGCGAACCCGGACCGGGGGTGGCAACCGTGAGAAGCATAGGATATTCCAAGGCCATACAAAAAAAAAGTTGTCATCAATTGGTGCTATTCGAGCGCAGCGGAACCTGTAAGTGTAGTAGGGAGTTCCAATTGACGAGAAAGCAACCCCCTTCCAAAGGTCTATACATAAGGTACACGAACCGCCTGGCCTTCTTTCACCCCCTGGTCTAAATTTCTGTCTCGCGCGCCCGGCCAGGCGGTTCCCCTTCGTCATAACTTTACAGCATCGTGCGCGCGGCTCTCCTTTCCTCTCAAACGTAATCCCCCACCAGGAAGAGTAGTTTAGTGGTGCTTCTTCTGGACCTCCATGGTCTCAAAGGCCAGCCTCTCGGCCTCCTCAGCCTGGATCTGCTGGATGATGGGTCCGAGGTAGGGGTAGTCCTATAATCGAGGGTCAGTCCTTTGCCAATGGATCTCTCTTATTTTTGTCGTTTTCAATCGTTCGGGGATGCGCACCTCCTCGGGCTTGGTCCACTCGTTCTTGGGCAGGAGCTTGTGCTGGTAGGAGAGCTGGACGGCACGGCGGATGCGGTAGACGCGGTCGTAGGACTCCTTGGGGGAGAGACGCTTGAGGGCCTTCTGGACGAGATCGGTCTCCTCCTCGATGAGGTCGTCGAATCTGCAGTCGGAGAGAAAAATCGGCAATCAGTACTTTTATTCTTCTTTCGGGCCGGTGGCTGAATGGTGGTTGTCGAAGAGTTGCTTACCTCAAGCCGAGCTTGCGGTGGCCGGCAGCGTTGGCGTACCAGTTGGAGAAGGGGACGAAGATGCTCTTGAGGAAGGGGCGAGCGAGGATGCCGTCGGCGATCTGCTTGGAAATGAGCGAAGTCATTGTGGCGGCTGTGTGGTGCGTGGTGGGCGCGGAGAGGAGAGGTTTCGATATAATGCCGCGGAGTACGGTTTTGCGGATCGCCTGAGGTTGGGACTCTATGGGAAATTCGTGGAGCATCCCGGAGAGGCGCAACGATTCGGGACGGCTGGTCATGTGATCATCCTTGAGATTCCGTCACGCGCCACAATTGAGAGAACATCAGGTGTGGCTCATGAGGATAATGTGGCTGGTGAGTTGACCCGACGGCACGGACCACCGAGAGGTAGAAGTGCAGATTTCGTGATTGGATCTGGGGCCCGATGAGGTAATTGGAGCTACCAACGAGATGCCCGCCTACGATAGCACCGCAGACCCTGCTGCGGATGATTGGGAATCGCATTTTGTGGTGCTGGGCAAAGGTGCAGGGAACAGGCGGAGGTGGAGCTCCCTTTCTGTGGTCTGGAAGCTTGAAACTTTTTATTCTGGGCATTTTTGGACTGCGATTCAGACTCTAGAGACTTTGGACGTCGTCTAGGATGTCTTTTGGACACTTGGCGTTTCCTGCCTTTTCGGTCGCAGCTCTTCTGACAAGAACTTTTGCAACTGTTTGGTACAAGACAAATATCTCCCCAGCTTACATGGCCACCATGATATTGAGATAAAAGGTACTGCGTCATCTTCCGTTGCTGATCATCCAGGGCTGTGAACAAGAATTGAGCGTACCGGCAGCTCCCGGGAGCATCTTCCTCGGCGGTTTATTCATAGTGCTGCTCTCTGCACAACGGTAAAAAGCAGCGGGCTCGTCATCGCGCAGGTCCCTTCCTTCAGCAGCTCCGGCACATCTTATCCAGGATTCCAGCGCTCCAACTGCTCCTTCCTCCCTCCCAGCCCACTAGATTGCGCCAGCCTCCACCTGTAAGAGTACCCTGAACGTGGGGACCTCCTGCCAAAAAAGACAGCCGACAGCTCGCATCATTTTGCTCTCGTGCTCCGTCCCGCTCCACCTCGGCGCTTTTTCGCAATATCCAATCTCCAACTCCCCCGACTGCGCTCCTGCTGCGTACTGCGTACCGTACCGACTACCACCATCTCTCGTTCTACTCCCCTTCTCCGCCGCCCGCCTCCTCTCTCACCCCTCACTTCCCGATCCCGTGTGCCTGGGAGCCTCCTTCCTGCCAGAACCGTTCTCGATTATCTGACCTAGACAGCTGCTTCCCCGCAAGGCCAATGGGCTGCGATAACCGCTAGTCGTTCAGTGTCACGGCGGCGTGGGAGCGTTCCCCGCATACCGGGACACTTGGGAAGGTCCAGCATCTATCCAACTACCTGAGTGAGACCTACACGACAGACACAAACGGAAAGAGAGACGACCAGAGAGAAAAGACGCAGACCACCAAAGACGCAGCACGATACTCGAACAAATCACGACAGATACACCGAGAAAACCGGCCCTCGTTGACCCGTTACTTCGTTTCACACCTAGTTCCTCGAGAACCACTACACACCGCGGGACATCGCCGCCTTTTTCCTTGCTGATACCGTACCTAGCTTGCGCCTATCCTCCGCACTTCTGAACGTCGACCAACCTCAACAGTGAGAGGGATGTCTCACGACGAACAAAACGACGCTGAACGAGGCGCACCGCACCCCAACGACGAAGAATATGGGCCTTACCCGACCTCGACATATCCCAACTACAGTAGCTCCAGAGCCTACCCAGCTGCGGCTCCTGCCCGCGCGGCGATAGCTGCTATTGAAGAGGCCGTTGCTGTCATGCCCGCCAACGAGACGATCACTGCCTTTGAGCGGTGGGCAGCTGGCGCTTCCGACGCCCAGTTCAACGCCCTGTCCGGTGCCGTGGGTGGATTTACCTCGGGCGTTGTTACGTGCCCGCTCGATGTTATCAAGACCAAGCTGCAAGCCCAAGGCGGCTTCAACCCGGTTGAGAAGGGTAGACATGTCGGACATGGTCCGAAGCTCTACAATGGATTGCTTGGCACCGCCCGTGTAATCTGGAAGGACGAGGGAATACGCGGCATGTACAGGGGACTCGGCCCGATAGTACTGGGTTATTTGCCCACCTGGGCTGTATGGTTTACCGTCTACAATAAGAGCAAGGACTGGTTGAAGCACCGTCATGGTAAGTGGGAGCCTCTGCCGTGGGAGCGTCCCGCTCGAGAGTCATGTTTGCTGACTCGAGCTACAGACAACACGGTGTTGATCAACTTTTGGTCATCCATCATCGCTGGTGCCAGTAGCACTGTCGTCACGAATCCCATTTGGGTCATCAAGACTCGCTTGATGTCGCAGAGCGTTGCCCATGACCCGGGCAAGTATCACTCGCAATTCCCGAGATCGGGCAACACTCCGACATCCAGACCGACGAATCATAGTTCATGGCACTATCGGTCAACAATCGATGCGGCACGCAAAATGTACACGTCCGAGGGCGTGCTGTCTTTCTACTCTGGACTCACCCCCGCCTTGCTGGGACTTACGCACGTAGCAGTGCAATTTCCAGCATACGAGTATTTGAAGACGAGGTTCACTGGTCAGGGTATGGGAGAGCCGACTCAGGGTGATTCGCAAGAGTCGCAATGGATGGGAGTGCTGGGTGCTTCGATATTATCGAAGATCATGGCGAGCAGTGCCACATATCCTCACGAAGTCATCCGCACGAGACTGCAGACGCAGAGAAAACCAGTAGGAGGAGCCGAGTATCTTCAAGGTCTGGGAATCAAGGTCCCCTTATCCGAGGACGGCAAACCGCAGCAACCGTTATCACCAAAATATCGCGGCGTGGTCAGCACCTTCCGGACGATCCTCCAAGAGGAGGGCTGGAGGGCCTTCTACGCTGGCATGGGCACTAACATGATGCGAGCGGTGCCGGCCGCGACAGTGACGATGCTGACGTACGAGTTTGCGATGAAGCATTTGAATCATGCGAGGAGCGAAGGCAAGAGGAAACTAGCAAGGGGTACACCAGCCGAGCCATGATCTGGTAGGGCAGAAGCCAGAGAAGAGCGGTCTCATTTTGAAGAAGACAGAGTGGGGAGAGAGAGAAACTTGTCAAGGCAATATGTGCGGTTTAGCGGTCTCGGGGGAAAAGAGAAGATGTTGAGGTTAGGAAACAGGGATGGGATTTTCCAGATACCCTTAACTTTGGTCGTCAGGTATAGACAAACTCGATTCAGGTCACGGAACCAGTAATAGTCCCCTTCAACCCCTTGCTCAAGGTAGGAGACGGCTCTTTTGACCTATCCCTCCCCTCATCTTCATCGCATTCAAACGATGGTTTTCTTCCCTATTTTACACACGATTTCGGACACCTAGGGTAGTTCATGGTCGCGAAGCAGGGGAACATGGCATACGGCTGGCGGCTCACTTTTGTAGCATTACATTTGTTTGGCGCGGAGTATACAAGGCGTTTGATAAACACACGCTGGACCGACATTCGTGTGTCTTTCATTTGGTATCTAGCAGTTGCGGTTGCAGAGACAGGGGGTATAACTACATTAGAAACCGTGAAAGAAACTCCGAAAAAGAAGAACGAAACTAAACTCGCGAAGCCTGCTGCCTTTCCCTTGCCCTCCAACTAGCTTTTGGTTTGCAACTCTTGGTATAGAGGGCCAATGATTCGGTGACATACGTGGCCTCTTCTGTTTCTACCAGGTCAACTTGCCGCGCTGTGTATCCGATGCGGCATTCACCTCCATGGCGTTGGAAATTTCAAGACGGACTGCTGTTGCTGGGTCCATGGTTCGGGCCGTGAGGATGTCTCTGCACATCGTCAGTTTCTTGACCCAGAAGTCACGTTACCCTTTACCCTAGACCTTCTGTCAGGGCAACAGGGAAGAATGGTTAGACGTACCGCCTGATCACGCGCCGAGCGGATTGAAGAGCGGGTATATCTGGTTCGATGTCAGCATCCATTGTCACAGTCTTCATAGCCCTTCCAAAACCCAGATGAGACGCAGCACCATAGGAGTTTTGAGACGGAGATAGCTCAGAATGTGAGACTTACGCGAAGAGGATACAGGCCATGGTGAAGGCGGCTAGAGGGGCCGTGATGGTCTAGGGGGAAGGGGGTATATTGTCAGTCAGGAGGTTTCTTCAGTGGGGAACCTTGTATTAATCTTGGATTTTCCCCTTACCTTTGGTGTCAGGTTTCCCTTCTTCATCTTGTGAGCATCGCCCTATTACGGACGAGGTTATGTTTTGAAATGCGGTGCGGTTTGAGGTTTGTGAGGAGTGAGGGTGAGATGGGGTGTGTGTAAGTGAGGTGAGTGGGATCATGGATGAGATGTGGATGGGCTGATTGTGGTTAGAGGATTGGGGACGTGGGGGGATATGCATGTATCCGGGACAGGGAAACGAATATAGGCATCTGAGTTGTGGCTTTGCGGTTGGAGGGATTGTTGGATCGGTTCCCGCCAGTTTTGTTCAGGCTTAAGATACAAAATGATGGAACTTTGAAAAGAAGTATGGAGTGACTGTGTTTTCAGTAATGGCATCGGTCGTTATGTGAGCGCTCCGTGGTAGTTCAAACTGGTCAATATTGGGTTAAGGCTTCAAAAGGCTTACGGGTATTATGAATGACTTACACCAGGGAGCCTCGCTTACTTGTATCAACAAGAACTCTGAGGCAGCGCACAATGAGACACGCAGTCACAGTCGGGCCGAATTTTACAGCTCATTCAACTTGATTCTTTAATGATAAACAACGTTTTATGATTCAGTGTGACGGTGTAAGGATATTGTGAAATGTGAGCAAAACGCCTTCGCGTCAATGGGAGGGAGCTATAGTGGACCCATATGAGAAATCAGCTACTACAGTACTTTGGTGCGTCTGCTGAAGAAAAGTCAAAAAAGCCTAAACTGAGAGACATTGGTAGAAACCATCCAAGTCATGCAACACCACGGATTGCCCCAAAACACCAAAAGCATGAGCTCGTGAGAGCTTCAAATGACAAGAGTGGGATTCGAACCCACGCCAATTACTTGACTAGCACCTGAAGCTAGCGCCTTAGACCGCTCGGCCATCTTGCCTATGTGAAATCGTTGACCCTCATGGCTCGAGTGGGGGTTATGTTAGACATACTGCGGGTCGTGCTGGGCGCTGAACGAAGATGTCTTATTGACCAGCAACGTCGTCTATCCTGTTCCCGAAAGCTGGCTGAGACCGCACATTGAACGTTATGACGATTCTGCAGGCACCCTTGGCTGCGGGGTGAGGAAAGATGCTGATTGTTACCTCTTTCTCCGTACCGTCAGATAGCCGCATCTTGCGCGAAACCGGAGTCTCGTTTGTCGCAAAGTATTCGTATGGGCAGGATGGCATGTCCCACTTGGTGAAGGGATCCTCTTTGCCCACCTCGTGGAAGAGCTCCTCTCCCCGTAAGATACCACGCAACAAGACACTGGCAATTCTGCCCGAGCCTGATGTTACATCCCATCCGTCAAGTCGGTCGATAATCCACTTACCCATCGCATCGTGATAGTTGAGCAAAGCTGCCCAGCATGGGCGAGGTCCTGTGAAGCGACCACTAGTAATGCCAATGACAAGTAGAAACTTTTCGCCCGAAAGGAGAGAGATATGTAGGAGACGAGCGTCGTAGTTTGGGAAGGTTGATGCCTTGTCGAGTCTGTCAAGGAAGCCTTGACCCAGTCTATCCCAAAGCGCTTTAGGTTCTGCTTGGAGGATTTGGATCTTCATTCCGCCACGCTTCACGTCATCAACGGAAATGAATACTGCGTTCTTCAACCTCGTGTTCTGCAACTCCAATGCTGCTTCGGAAGTCAAGTGGCGTACCAGCTTGAGCAGGTTGGCTTTCTCAATCGTCGAAACCATATCGAAGGTTTCCATCCATGGCATGCTTGATTTCAAGTCCTCCTTGCCGTGATGACGTACATAATCTACAGCCAGACTCCACGGGTTGTGACGCACAAAACCGGATAGTGTTTTGGCAACCATGATGCCGAGTGAGAGTGAGTATGTGGACAGAGGGGGAAATTTTGATGACCCTAGAACAACGATATCGCAATTCAGCGGCAATATGTATACGAAGAGTGGTTCATATTGAGATGCATTTTCTTTGTCGGATGATAGACACAAACAAAGCCCAGTCTTGATTGATAACTTTGTCCTAGTCACGCCGAACTCGGAATTTTCAGATAGCGGCATTGATATGGCCAGCCTGTATTTCGAGCATACAAGGAAATCGGATGGTGACTTGGCAAGTAAACCGCTGTATTCTTCTGATCGTTCTGGGTCCGAGACTGTTGAGGTCCAGGCGAATAGAGATAGGTCATTTGTGTCTTGTAGGATCTCAGACTGCAGCCGAGCGAAGGCTTTATCACCTTCGCCATATAGCAAGGGCATGTTGATATCGAATATCCCAAGCAGGCAATAGGCAGAGTCCTCAGTCCGAGTAGTTTGACGTTTCGAGGCCCAAGACATGCGAGTTGCGGCGGGGACTTTGAGTAGAGGCGCCTTGCCAGTGAGGATCGCCTCGTCGATGCCTGTGATGGACGACAAGAAGGGGGACAAAGTCTCCTTTGAACCAAGTACCTGCCAAGACGCATTGTAAAAAGTGACAGTCTTTGGCGCAATCAGCTCTTGAAGAGTCCAACCCCGGGTGAACCACCGTGAAGCCCCCAAATTTTCCAGGAATGTGGCTGAGCTAGCCAAGTCATTCAAATCGGAGAGATAGGCAAAACAAATCCAGGACCGCTTATACCAGCGGAACATGGAATTGATTGCCTCGGATAGTTCTGCGCTGGACCTCTTGTCGATACAGCAAGTATCGACCCACGCGTAGGCCAAGTCGAGGGACTTGGCCACACGGCATGTGTTGTAAATCTTGAGATAACCGTCCTTTCTCCGGAAATTATCGTCTGTTTGGTATTTGAGTTCGCAGAAAGACACTTCTTCGCTGCCCCAGGTATGAGAGAGGATGGCGTAAGGGAAGTCCGGCTCGATGAACTCCTCCAGGTCAAGGGTATTGACGTTGATCAACCACATAACTTGACGATAGTTGCAGTCAAGTAGAGAAGAGCGATTAGAGACGAGGCTTTGTCTTGCAGAAAATGAGGAAACAGGCGTGCTCGTTGGCGAGAGGAAGGGTGTGTTAGCAGAGCGAAAGATAGACGAGCTTTCGCCGAGATTGTTGCCTCACTTCAGGCGTACTTCAACCACAAGGTGAACTCAACGAATGAGGACTGCAGGAAGCAGTAGGAAAGATGTTGGCTTCTTGGAAGGTGCATATGCATCCACTCAATGTTGAAAGGCGCCTACGCAAGGCGCCTACTCCAGAGTCAGCTCCCGCCTGCCTCTCACATATTGGAGAAGGCATTGCTGGACCTGTATCCTCGTGAGGTCGATGATGGCATCTCGAACCACTGACTTTGAACGGAGCAAAGTAAGATATAATAAAGAGATTAAGACGGTGGACGCAAAGCACGGTGTTTTAGAGACACAAGTGTCACTGACGGGTGGTTGCTCGGTGGATGAGACAGCGTACTTAATCTCACATCGGTGACATCGGCTATTATGCCCAGCCATCTGGTGTTCCCCCACAGCAAGCCCGACGCCGGACGGGCACCAGAACGTGCGCTCCCTCAAAGGCTAACCTCACTAAGACCACAGGTCGGGGTCGAGGAACGCACGGGCAATGGTCGAAAAGCTTACTGCGCGATGGACCGGGGTGCGAAGACTTTCTTCACTGTTGAGAAGAGGGAAATGGCAGATGAGAGAGGTTGAGACGCCGGCGGCAGGGAAACAGCCGAGAGCACGAAAGGCGCGAACTGATGGACCTGTACCTGCTGCTCAGTGCTGACCCTGCTTGCTCTCGTTTGGGGGAACCCAGACATGCAGATTCCGAGCAAGCACCCAGCAAAAGCAGAGCAACCATACAACGTTGACACGGCACCACCACCCCCCGGTGCGCCCATGCCCACCAGAAACAGCAACGGCTAATACTACTGCTCGTGGAGACCCGAGCTTAATAATTAGGCTGAGCCAGACAGAAAGGAGAGACAGAAAGAGGAGAGGAGACTGGACGCGAGTGGGAAGGGAAGAGAGCGAGACACTGGACAGAGACAGAACTGGGGGCGCCCGCACCCGCACCAGCACCAGCACCAGCACCACCAGCACCCGCGACGCACCGCACCGCACCGCCAAAATGCAGCAACGCAACACGGCAGGACATCTGCATCGCATCAGCCCCCTGGTCCCGGCTGAAGCTCTGGCCATGGCCGTCTGTGATTGGCTCATCTCGAGGACGTCCTCTTCGACCTCCTGTTTACCTCTCAACTTCCCTCGATTCCCGTAACCCCCTCCCATCTCTTGCAATTTCGCTTTATTTTCCCATCGCATCTTGATCGCATCACCAGCGCATCGCCGCTATTCAAGTCGCACATCCTTTGCGATCTCCCCCTCGTATACCTCTCTACACGAAGATACTTGTACCCACCGCACACAGCATACATCCCAGCTGCATCTAGACATCATGCCTGTCGAGCTTCGCAAGCGCAAGGCCCCCGAGCCTGCTCCGGCTCCGGCGCCCAAGAAGGCCTCGTCCAAGGTCGCTAAGGCGGCCGAGAAGGTCAAGGGCGCCGTCAAGGGCAAGGCCGAGAAGCCGGCCGAGAAACCCGTTGAAAAGGTTGCCGAGAAGCCCGTTGAGAAGCCCGCCGCTGCCAATGGCTCTGGCAAGAAGGTCAAGGCGACTAAGGGCGAGACAATTGACCTCGACGGCTTCGGCGGCGACATTGAGACCAACGATGGCGAGAAGACGACCCTCAAGGAGCTCGTCGACAAGAGCAAGGCCGGTGTCGTCCTCTTCACCTACCCGAAAGCCTCGACTCCCGGATGTGAGTGTGTTCCTGAAGCGATATATGCTTGGTAAGACCGATCTCTAGTCCGATCAACCATGCTAACGAGCTTCTGTTATCCAGGCACCAAGCAAGCTTGCCTCTTCAGAGACTCGTACGAGCCGCTCACCAAGACGGGTTTCGCCATCTACGGCCTGTCCATGGACTCGCCCAAGGCTAATACCACCTTCAAGGAGAAGCAGAAGCTGCCTTATCCGCTGCTCTGCGACCCCAAGGCCACCCTGATTGCTGCCATTGGCTTGAAGAAGCCGCCCAAGAGCACTCAGCGCGGCGTCTTTGTCGTCGACAAGGCCGGCAAGGTACTCATCGCCGAGCCCGGCAGCCCCGCGGGCACCGTCGATGTTGTCACGGCGCTGATTGAGGGCGGCGATGTTGACGGTGCCGAAGAGGCCGCGACCGAGGCCCCTGCTGCCGATGCCAAGGAGGAAGAGGATGCGGCCAACGGAGAGACCAAGGCTGACGAGGAGAAGAAGGAGGATGAGAAGAAGGACGAGTAATTATGTCATGGTGCTGCAGTGTAAGTATAATTTCGTGGCGGAAAATGCGTTTGCAATTGGAGGGCCTGGACAAGGCAAGGCAAGGCAGGATTTTCTTGTATCCGTATAGTAGCTGAAAATTGATTGTCTGGCGTTGGGGTTGTGCATTGCCTTTTTTCCAAGCCTCGTCGGCACATCCAACATGCACGTCTCTGCGGTGCATTGCCAACTTGCGTGCTGTCTCGGCCCCCGGCCGATTCGATGCGATGAACCCCCGGAAATTCCAGCAATGTAGTTTTACAAGGGGAAGTGGTGAAGTGGATACTTTGGACCAAGAGCTGGCGGTGCTGGGTTGCAAATTCAAGCACGGCTATTGCTTCGACCGGCAAAACCTCGGCCCTCCGGTTCCTTGCCAGAAACTGGAGCACTCTCCCGTCCCCCGAACCAAGCCCAGGTGCCCGGAACGCTCACATCCAACCTCAAGTTGGTCATCGAACCGTTGCCAATCGAAACCCACCACTCCCCCCAATCTCCCCTCCACCGTCTACGACGTCGCCAAAGATGGCCTCCAAGGCAATTGCGAAGGCTGCGGCAGGCGGTCTCGTGGAGATCTCCCAGGTACGACCTCAATTGATCCTGCGAAGAAAGCAGGGAAAACCAAACACCATCACGAACCACCACCACACACCCACACACCCACCCTCCTCCGAACCATTGAACGACCTCAATTGAGCGACAGTAGCTAACCTTACTTCTTTCCCCTCCTACAGAAGCATACCCTCCAGTCCACAGGCATCTGGGAACGCATCCGCCGCACCCTGGCCATCGACCCCAACCGCTCCTCCGGCGTCCCCTTGAACCCGACCTTCCGCAACCCGACACCGGGCGCCAACGACCCCTTGGCCTACGACGACCCCGTCACCGTCCCCGCGGGCGACATCGCCGACAACCCGTACTGGAAGCGCGACGCCCGCCGCAACTACCCGGCCATCAGCGTCGTCAACCAGGCCGACGTCGTGGGCCTGCTGGCCGTCGGCTCCGCCGCCAACCCGCGCGTCGAGCTTATCGGCGAGGCGGGCGAGAAGGCGCTCGTCGCGGCCAAGGAGGAAGGAAAGGCTACTGGTATCGCGGCGTACCTTGAGAAGAATGCGGCCCAGGGGGCTGTGGAGGCGAGCAAGGAGGCGCTGTTCACGAATGGGCTGCCGCCGACGCCGAGTGGTGAGGATTTGAAGAGTGGAAAGTGGGATGTGCACAAGTACAAGGTCAATGAGGACCAGTCCTACGGCGAAGGGTGAGTTTTGTCTGTTCCGTCCATCGTTGGGGGGGCTTCTGGAGTTTTGGGTATTTGGCGATGAAGAGGAGTTTTTGCTAACCACGAGTGAACAGCTACACTTGCCGGACTTTTGCGTGAGCATTTGGAAATCGCGGGTTTCGCTGTACAGGAGAGAGAGGAGGGACACTTGTAAATATGAAGGGCACTAGATTCCATTGAAACGTTTTATTCCATTTCCTCAAGACTTTTGAAAAGGGTCGACCTCAAGAGCTCTCTGTGCTATTCACCTGTTGGGGGTATCTTCCCATAATGTGGCTATTGCCAAAATCCTCTAACAAAGGTGGCCTAAAACCGCCTCCCATGCTTTCTTAACAAGACGACAAATAATACCCGAGTAACAGAAATCTCAAATCTCCTTGGCCTCCGGGACCTTCACATCGGCAGCAGCAGCCTCCGGCGCAGAAACCGCCTCCCCCGTCATGCGCTCAATAATCTTGACCTTGCCCTGCGCCCTCTTCAACCTATCATCAAAGTCATTGACGGCCTCGTCGCTGTTCTCCTTGGACAGCGTGTCCGGCTCAACCAGCGCAAACGCTGTCGTGACGTTCTTTTCTAGTCTCGCGTTGGGTGCCAGCGGCGGTAGGGAGCATGTATTTTGTGAATCTGATGACTCTGTTGATGGGTGAGGTTGATCGGCCGAGACCGAGGCTGAAGCCGAAGCGCCGGAGCTTGATGACTTTGCGGCGGTGGTGGTACTGGTGGCGGCACTGCTGTTCTTCTGGGGCAGGGAAAGTCTGTTGGCCCATACGACGGCGCGGGCGTGTATCCTGCCGCTCTCGTAGAATTTCTCGTAGCCCTTTGCGAGGCCGACGGAGCGGCCCTCGATTTTGCCTGCTTGGATGCCGTCTTGGGTGCCTTGGCGGAAGCCTTCTGAGAAGAATTGGTCTTCTAGGGTGAGGACGTCGTCAAAGGGGTCGAGAGACATGGTTTCGGCGATGGATTTAGAGAAAGAGAAAGAATGAGACTAGCCTTATCAGGTTTTGAGTGTTCTTTCCGGTTGTTAGTCGTTGTGAGTCTTGAGTTGTTGAAGTTGAGAGTTGATGGAGGGGTGCTTTGAAATGATGGCGGGGCAAAATCGTGAGGTTTGACTCAGCGGGTTTTTTGCTAGTGGTTTACACCCATATGTTTCGATACTTGACATTTACGAACTTTGACAATGAACAGCTCAGCGACGCGAAGTGACATACTTTTGGACCAAGTTCTATATATCTGGAAAAGAAAAAGTGTTACTCAAGAAGTTAATGAAGTTTAAGAAACTCTAATCCAGCGGAACGTGGGGAATCAAATTCTAAGTCTACCTCATAACTAACACAGCAAAAAACCCCGTCATACGGCCTCACAATCCAACGCAGTAAGTCACGTCTATATAACTGCCCATCTACTGCAACCCGAAAAACATACCGCCATTAGCGCAAACAACCTGTCCCGTACACCATGCAGAGTCCGCAGAGACAAGCATGCCCACAATACCCGCAATCTCCCCAACATACGCCGGCCTCCCGCCCTCCTCCTCGGCGGCCTTGACAAGCTCATCCGCGTCGATGCCCTGCCTCGCCTTCATCAGCGGCGCATGCTCGATAAAACCCTTGATGAAGCGCTTGAACTCGGGCGTGTTGCCCGCGTACATTTCAGTGAGTACGGGTCCCGGGTTGATGGCGTTGACAGTGGCGTTCTCGCTGAGCTCGCGGGCCCAGGTGCGCGTCATGGCCTCGAGCGCGGCTTTGGTGCCGCCGTAGACGCTTTGCTCAGGGAAGCCGGCGGAGGAGCTGACGGAGGACATGTTTACGATGCGGCCGGAGCGGTCGGTGGGGAGGTAGGGCTGGACGGCTTGGGTTAGGAGGAGGGGCCCGAGGACGTTCACGCGGTAGGAGACGTCGAATTGGGAGACTGTTATGGAGGGGAGGAGGTTGTTTTGGGCTACGCCTGCGTTGTTGATGAGGATGTCGATTTGGAATTTCTTGTTGTTGTTGTTGGTCTTTTCGAAGTGGGATTTTGCGGTTGCGACGAGGTATTGGGGTCCTTCGGGCGTGCCCATGTCGGCTTGGACTGCGAGGGTTTGGATGTTGTGTTTGTTGCTTAGGTCTGTGGCGAGTTGTTCGGCTGGGGATTTGGAGGAGGGGGAGGTGTAGCCCAGGATGAGGTTGCAGCCTTTTGCGGCGAGGTGTTCGGCGATGGCGACGCCGATGCCTGGATGGTAAGTTGTATGTCAGACGGTGTCGTGAAGCTTGAGGTTATAGAAAGTTTTACCTCGAGAGGCGCCGGTCACGATTCCGAGCTTGCCATCGAGAGAACGAGACATTGTGTGGATGAGCTTCTGACCAGTTGTTGGCTTCTTATGAGCTGGTTATAGTTGAAAGCAGAGAAAGGGAGTAGAAATATGGTTGCAGTATCAAAGAAGGGAAGACGAGAGACAGAGAGGAGATCGGTAAATGTTCACGATGAGAAGAGGATGGGAGCCCAGGGACGGGTTTCTTATAAGCTACATACTAAGACTACGGAGTACGGCTACGTTACCTTACTCAGGGACTGGAAACCCTACCTTAACCTACCGCACCTTAGCCAGACAGGGTTCGATTGTCCCGAATCGGCAATGCTAGCAGCTCTCGTGACCCGTCCAAATCTGTTGAGATCCCGCCCAATGGAAGCTCGTGGCGGGCTACCATTACCTTACATTAGATCTCACGAAGACGCGGTCGGTGTTTCTGGGTGAAAGCTACCCCGCTATCGCAAGCTATGTGCTGGAGTTTTGTGCCCCGCGCTCAGTGGGCATCCCACACCTAGCACACCCCCACGTCATTCTCCCGCGCCAATCCCGGGCCGTGGGCTCGACGCCGCCAGGGGGCCACGATTTTTTTTGGTGGTCCTGGATCATCGTGGATTGGCGCTTCACGTTTGAGGACCATGAGGGTTCTTTTTATGAACTGGGCATTCTGTCGGACTGATGGCATGTACTTGTATATTTATGAATGTCCAAGTGACATGAGGTTGAGTTGAGAGCAAAGTCCGATGTCACCGTAGAGTTGTGAACAGTCCGGCTTACCTATACACACGCATAAACCTCTATGATTTGCCCAAAACTCGTGTTCTAGTTTCTTGGTAATGAAAGAGATCCTATCTTCGTGAATGAATATGTGGAAGTTTTTGCACATTTTCATAGATGAAGTTATGCTGATGAAGGGTTTCTCTTGTTAAGGTAGTCTTAGAAACAGGAAGTAATTGTAGACTACGAGTAAACGGTGGAGCTTCCATTTCGTGTTATGCTAGATGTAGTTAATCTACGAGGTAGTCGGTATGAGGTTCACTCAGCTGTGTTTGCAGTGGTAGTTTCTTTCCGTGGCATTGAAAAGTAATACAAGATCGCAGTGAGAATAGAGCGCTACAGAGATACTATGAGGTTTGAAGTTGTCCAAACATCCGTGTGGTGCACTGCACTGCTTCCATAGTTTGCGCCAACCATTCCAAACGACCCGAACCAGACTTTGAAAACACAAGAACAAAGCTTTCCAGTACTGTTTCAGTAATCTACTTATATCATGGTAACATTTGATGCTCACACTTTGAAAACACAAGAACAAAGCTTTCCAGTACTGTTTCAGTAATCTACTTATATCATGGTAACATTTGATGCTCACACCATAAAAGAACTTGCGTTGCTGATGGTCCTGTAGACACGGAAAAGTTATCGTTCATCGTAAGCTGTTGTATCCCTAGCTCATATAGAAAGACCTGAGCTGAGCATCTGGCGGGGCAGTTTTGAGCGACGCTCGGAGCCTTGTGCGGCGGTGGTGGGGTTCTCGCAGCCACCTCATGGTCCAACGACCAGGGTCTTTCCAAAAGTCTACACCACACTCCCCTCCTCAGCGTCTCCCATCGCGAAATCAACCCACCACCACACGCCCTCGCCTCTTCAGCCTCGCGCTCACAGCTCCCCAACGTAAAGCCGGTCCAACCTCGTCCGTATCGATCGACCCGTCCGTTTATTTACAGCCCACGACTCATACACAACCGCCCACCATGGATATCCGTCTCCTCAAGCCCGCCGACCTCCCCCTCATACAGCACGCCAACCTCGAGAACCTGCCCGAGAACTACTTTCTAAAGTACTACCTCTACCACGCCCTCTCCTGGCCCCAGCTCAGCTACGTCGCCGTCGACGTCTCACGCCCCAAGCGCACCCCCTACGACTACCCCAAGATCGTCGGCTACGTCCTCGCCAAGATGGAGGAGGAGCCCACCGACGGCGTCGCCCACGGCCACATCACCAGTCTCAGCGTCATGCGCACCCACCGCCGCCTAGGTATCGCCGAGAAGCTGATGCGCCAAAGTCGTACGTTTTCCCTTCCAACCTTTTCCCACTGTCACCAGGCTCTTTGAATTGGAATTATCACTGACATCCACGACTGCAGAACTCGCCATGGTCGAGACATTTGGCGCCCAATACGTCTCCCTCCACGTCCGCGTCTCCAACAACGCCGCAATCCACCTCTACCGCGACACCCTCGGCTTCAAGAACGAAAAGACAGAGAGCAAATACTATGCCGACGGCGAGGACGCCTACTGCATGAAGCTCGACCTGAGCTACATCCGCGAGCAGATCCAGGACGAGCGCGACCGCGAGGAAGAGGAGGCGGCAGACGAGGGCGAGGCCGTGGGCGACGTCGGGCGCGATCCGAATGCGCCTGCGTCCTCCACCACCACCGCTGCCGCTGATAAGAAGCGCAAGGTCAAGGTCGGTCGCGGGTTGGGTGTGGGCGAGCTTGTTGAGAAGAATGAGAGTCAGAATTAAGGGGGCCCTTCTCTGGGGAAGAGTATGCCGGACTTTTCAGAAAGCCTGGCTGATCGATGGCTTGGTGAAGAGCGGTCGGGCCGGCGGGCATAGATTTGCTTGCTTTCAACCTTTGGGACAGCGTAACGGCTGTTTGTGGCCGTGGGCGGGAAGGCAAAAAACGGCAATGGTACTTTGACAGGCTGATGACACAGCTTTCCAAGGCTTTACCACCAGGTGGTTTCGAAGCACAAGCTGCAAGTTCTATTTCCGGGTGGTGTGTATGGTCTTTTGTCAAAAACAAAGAAGTGCAAGATGAGCCTTTCGATACTGGGCAATGTAGCCAGCATTTGGATGTGGAGTTCAAAAGCCTCATATGATCGGATCATGTTCATGACTGGGTTTACGGCGCATCGTCACGGCAAAAGCAGAAGAGTAGACGAGGCATTGGCGGGAATCAAATGGAAGCAAAGACTAGTTTCCCTTTGCTGTATCTCTACAGATTACTATATGTACCGATTTGTTCCCCTGAATCATACGGCCCCGTACATATTTGTACATGCCTAGCAAAGGTACGTAGGTATTGATGTGTGTCTGTCAATGTATGGACTGTCTACCAGCCCCCAGACTTTTGATCCTCCGCCGCCAACTCCCTCGCAAACTCGGCATCCGCCTCGACCTTGAGCTTCTCGATATTCCTCGATAACTCGTCAATCTCTTCCTCCAGACGTTGCGTGTTCTTATCGCCGCCTCTTCCGCCGCATCCCCCGCCATCACCACGACCCCGGCCCCAGCCTCGACTACCGCCGCAGCGTCCTCTTCCGGCATTACTATCCCGCATCTCCGTTCTCACTTTATCCAGCTCCTCCACCCTCTTGACAATATCCTTTTCCATTTCCTCAACCGCCTTGAAAAGCGCCTGTGATGAGGGCGGCACCGGTGTGGACGGTGTGGAGGTCATGCTGCCGCTGCCGCCGATGCTGGGGCTTCGTTTCCCTACTGCCGGCACTGCTGTGACGGGCCATGCTCTGGGTAATCCTCCCCAAGGACCAGGACTAGGACCAGGAGGACCATTTCCGGCGCCGGGATAACCACCCGGCATGGAACCCCTACCTGGCCCTGGAGGTCCCCACGGCATGCCCCAGACGTTCGGCACTGGGGAGACGTTATTGGGGAAGTTTGGGATCGGGGGAGTGCCATGTACCACGGGCGGCGGGGGAACGTGGACACCCATCGGCGGAACAAACACTCCCGGCTCACCCCACGGGGCCGGTCCGGGGCCGTGGTGCTGTTGGTGCTGTTGGTGTTGTTGATGCTGCTGATGTTGGTGCTGCTGTTGCTGTTGCTGGTGTTGTTGAATGTGTCGACGCTGCTCTTGATGCTGTCTTTGTTGTTCCTGATGTTGTCTCTGCTGTGCCTGGTGGTGCTGCTGCTGCTGGTGTCGTTGGTGCTCTTGCTGATGCCGACGTTGGTGATCATGGTGATGAGGATCTCCTCCTGGTCCACCGCCACCATCACCGCCGCCGCCGCCCCTCCGCAGTTCCCTCTGCGCTCCTCTCTGCTCGCGCCTTGCCTCCCTATTCTCCCGCCTGCTCTCCCTCCTCTCCTCCCTCCGCTCCCTCTTCTCCTCTTTCCTCCTCGCGCGGCGTTCCTTCCGCTTCTCCTTGCGCGTGGCCCGTTGCTGGCGCTTGAGTTTGCGCCAGTCTTGCGTGATGCTTCTGATTTCCGCTCGGAGCGCTTTCTCCTCTGCCTTTTTCGATGCAGCGGTGGCGGCTGCTGTTGCTGTATCTTCTGGTCCTTTCTCTGGCTGCTGCCGAGGTTGCGCCGCTGCCGAAGAGCCCGCGGAACGTATGTCCTCGCGGAGCTGCGCAATGTCATCTTTCGTGACGGGCTGCTCTGGGTGAGATAGCCAGGAGGTGATGCGCTGCTTGTAGATGGGGAGTTGTGAGGGGTAGAGGTCTTCGTAGTCTGGTAGGGAGCCAACGGAGGATGCAGAGGATAAGGAGGAGGCTGAGGTGACGGAGGAGGATGAGACGGAGCGCTGGTCTGAGGGGTACCGGCCGGGAGGTCGACCGCGGGCTGCTGCTCCGCCACCATCTGCGCTCTCATGGCGTGCGTGTTGTTGTTCTGGGCCGCTGCCTTGGAAAAAGGGATGCTGCGGGCTCGGGTGTGGAATGATCGGTGGCTGAGGGTGAGGCAGTCCGGTCGGGGAGAAGGGCCCTGGAATATGGCCGGGACCGCCAAACATCGGCACCGGTGGCGGGCCCGGAGGTGCGGGCGGCGGCGGCGGAGGAGCCCATCCGGGTCCAGCGTAGTGCGCCTGCGCGCGCGGCGTGGGGGTGCTCCCGAACCTGATGCCGTTCTCGTCCGCAATGAGGTTCCCTACTCGGATACCATTGCTGTCTGCGACAATACGGTCGCCAATGTTAATGCCGTCCGTCGAGACGGTGATGCCGCCAAAGCTCCAACTGTTCCGGTCATTGGAGCCAGACTGCGGTTGCTGCTGGGCTTGCATCGCGGGAGCCTGGCCGGGATGCGCGGGGAAAGGTACAGGCGTGGGACCGCCGCTGCTACTGCCACCACCGAGAACAAGATCGCGATCGCCGCCTCCGATGGCATGGTTCTCGACGTTTCTGTCAAAGGACCGGTCCCAAGCGCCTGGCATGTGCCGGTCCTCCTCTGCCACCTCGGGTACCAGCGTGATGAGCATGCCCCTGGGCCGGAAGAACCCTTCGTTCCACTGCGCGACCACACCCTCCGCTTCCTCCCTCCTCACGCCCGAAGCAGCGGCCGCCGCGCCTGGATCGGTGTCCCTGTCCGCGCGAATCTGGTCCAGTTGCGCCGAGGCGTGCGCGCTGCTGCCGCTTTTGCTCTGCCCTGTACCGCTTCCATCCGATGCGACAGCGGCGGCGGCAGCAAGGGCCTCCTCCTCAGCCTGCAGCTTACGGTCGATGACGGCCTCGTTCCGTGCCGCGGCGTGGTGCGGGATCAGGCAGTTTGTGAACGTCGCCCAGTCCTGCTGCGTGACGTCGCGGGGAGCCCATGCCGGAGAGTAGGGTACGTCGTCCGGTGTCGAGCTTGGGGTGACGGTCAGTGCGTGGACGAGGAGGTGGTCCCTGGGTGACGGGGCGAGTCCCGCGGGCGCGGGCCTGGATTCGAAGTAGGATGCCGTGAACTCCGAGTACGCCGATGCCGATGCCGATACCGACCCTGAAAGAGACTGAGATTGGTGGGATCCTCCCCCGGTTGCCGCGAGAGAGCGGTTGGTGAGGTCGAGGCTCACATTCGAGCTGTGATGGTGAACACCGCCGCCGCCGCTGCTGCCTGGGCCGCCGGTGCGGGGTGTCAATGGCGGGGTGTAGATGACTTCGCTGTGGGATGAGGCATGCGAGGAGCCGCGCGAGGCGGCATCGTCGGTGCCATGACGGGACGAGATGTGAGGTGAATTTGAGGGCGGGTTTGATGGCCGGCCGGAGTTTGAGTAGATGTCTGTCTCGGAGTACGGCGGAGGGGGGACGTCGTCGAGTTCGGGGTCTCGCATGGCCGTCATTCGCGGTGGGTGCCTTTGCTCGGTGTAAGGTGATGTTATGTGAAGCTAGGAGCAGAGCTGTCGAGGTTGGAAGATGTTTGCTTGGCGACGATGGTTAGGTTATCAAATTGTCTACTAGACTGGTGGGTCTAGTTGAAGAGAGTAGGTTTTTTGCAGTGAGAGGTGAGATTAGAGGAAGCCAAGGTGAAGAAATCCAAGACTTTGGTCAACGGCACTACGGCACATGGATAAAGAAAGTGTGGGAATACAAGGCACTTTGATGAGCTTATTAGCTACCTTAGCTGTAGTTGTAGCTTGGCTGGGCTGGGCTGGGTTGGGCCTTCCGTTGGCCGTTTGACTCAATCCTCCTCTCCTCCCCTCCATCATCTTTCCCCAAATCCTAACCTTGCAAGAACAAATGGCCATGCATTCCCACTAGCGAACTTCTCTGATCATTTTGTCCCTCGTTCGCGCGTAGCCTTACGACGTCTAATTCCCACCCGTCGAACGGTGAACCACAGTTCGTCACTCGATAGAGAAAGCCGGGGGGTAAACCCCACACCCCTCGGGAGCCCAAGCGGTGCGGCCTAGCCCACGCCAGGTAAAGATAAGCATCAACCTTGTTTGTGGATGACCCCTGCGGTCCACGGCGCAGTCAAAAGTTGCGAGGGGCACGCGTTTGTTCGCAAACCCGATTGTCCAAGGTTTCCCCTCCCCCAATGAGAAAAAAAGCCACCGCCAAATCGAAGCCTGGATAAGAACAACCCGCAGTCACTTTCTTCGAGAAGGCTCTCTGTGCTGCAACGCGCTGACGCGGCCCCTTCGGAGGCAGCAATACGCCATCAGTGTGATCCCTCCACATCAAGCCACATAAGCCTGCAATCCAGTGGGTCTTTCTCCCATGCCATTGGAAACGCCGCCACGACCTTTTGAGCTTGTGTTACCCCTCTAAACTGAACGCCGTGCTCCCGAACCAACCGACCATAGCCCTAGAAAGAGCAGTGGCCCAGGACTGAACCGCGAATTAGTATGTACAGAACCCAGGCTATGCATGCGCCGGGGTAACATTCAATGACTGAGCCAGGACTGAAAGTTCGCTTTCGTCTTCGGGCCACGAATCATCCCCACGGCCGCGGACGCCGCTGTCGTGTCCCCGGCAGCGTTGGGCGTGCTAGCTTTCCCTAGAAAAATATTCCAGAGGCAGTACTCATCGGTCAGCCTCGGTGCTCCAGAGATGGAAGTCGACGTCCTCTGGCTTGTAGTGATCCGCAATGATGGTAGATAGATGGTTCCGCGAGTGTGCGCCACTGTGTAACATGTTAGCGGTGGCTCACCAACATCATACGTGGGACTGTTGACTTACAGGTTGGTGATGTAGGTGTCGAGCAGTTCGGGAGGCACGAATTCACTAACTGCGCTGCGAACGTCGACACCGTTGACCATGGCCCCGTCTGCGAAGCTGACATGGCCCATGGAGCTTCCCCATTCCACCAGGCTCTCCTCATCAAAGTAGCTCTCTGGGCAGAGCTTGTAGACACCACTGAGGATGATCACCGGGTTGCCCTGCTCCTTTGCTGCGCGCGCAATCACACCAGCGCCCGCGTCTGTGAGGATGCCGCCATTGGCCAGGACGGCTCTTGCTCCCAAAATCACCTTGTTGATTCGGGGCATGTAGGCCATCAGACCGCTGTTGAGAATGTTGATTGCGCTAATGCCCGCTGCTGATAGCTTCTTCCTGAACGATGCGTATGGCGACTCACCACCGGCGCAGGCAGCTGTTCCGGCAGCGATGAAGAGAGTGAACTTTCTTCTTGTCGCCGCGCGCAGGATGAACTTCTGGACCGTGGCTGAAGGCTGATGCACCAACACGTAGTCCCCAGGATGAATCTGAACATCCGCAGCTCCTGCAATCTGGTCGTCCACCTGGCCAATCTCGTCCTTGAGCTCCTCGATTCCCTCACAGACCTCTGATCTCAGAGCGTGTACCTTGGTCGACTGTCCACGAAGCGGAGTTGAGGCGCCAGAGTCCTTGCCAAACGGCGATCCAGCCATGATACCAGCAGTGTCCACTGGAGGAGATGCCTCAAGAAGAGAAAAGAGAGACTTTGACACATGGAAAGAGCTCGCGGATGTGAGGAAACCGGGGCGAACGGGTCTTGGGCCGCTAGTAATATAGTCAGAACCGGCGTCCTGCTTGGTATATGTAGAAGGAGGCCATTGATGCTCCAGCTTGGAGGGGTCGGGCACTGCTGTCGTCGGGGTTCCTCCAACTTCTGTGGCAGTCTCGCTGAAGTCCTCGTTTCGGTCTTCGGCAGCCTCGTCTCGGATCAAGCTCAACACGCGTCTAACGATGTTGCCAACGACTAATTCCTTGGGCTGCGCGGCGATGAGGCGCAATCCGATCTGCTGCACCTTCTCCAGCAACGAATCGACGTCGTTCCATTTCGACTTGGCGACGACCTGGAGGAGAATGTGTGCGGTCGCGACGGCGCAGAGCTCGGAGCCCTGGATCTGTCTTCTTTTCAGGAGACTGGTAAATTCTAGTATTAGCGTGGGCAAGCCAAAACGGAAGAAAAAAAAAGAAGTGTAAGGCCGGCAGGATACTTACGAGATGAGACTGTCAATTGATGCTTCCAAGGGCTTACCCTTGAGGGTTTTGAGGTACCGCTCGAGGTCCCCCGCGCTGGGCTTCACGGTAGCCATTTTCGGTGGTGGGTGCTGTCGCCGAAGTCAAGGCCCGACGTTGGGAGAGGGGAGTTGTCGTAAAGACTTTTCGGGATTGATCGATGGCGGTTGCTGAAGTCGCAGGAGATTCGGAAATGTGAATTCGGTCGTCTTCAGTCAATGCACAATGTGGATGTACCGATCAATGGCCGTTGGTCTGGCTTTGGGCTGGACTGAATGGAGAATTGGAAATTGTGCGCAAACGGCTGTGACTCAACTGTGAAGCTCGGAGAGGGACAATGAACGATCCCTGTCACGCTAAAAATTTCGAGGGGCATTGGATGACCACAAGCTCCGTCTCACACCTCCCTTACCACTGGAACCAGCTGGCAGCAGTAGGTGACAGCCCTGGACCCCGGGCCCGTCTCGGTCCGAAGCAACCCGACTGAGAGGGACACCCGTGGACCTCCAGGTGTCCCCAATGACACCTCAGTGGAAGCACTCCACTGCTCGAGTACCCCTCCATCACTACAAAATGACGTTTGCCCGCTGAATTTCTGCTGTAAGTGATGCGTTAGGGGCACCAAGCGGTTGGCTATCACACCGCGAGCTGTCCGTCATCTGCCAGGTTGACAGGAACCCTGAGGTTCCTTGCTCTTGGGGTTGAACAGCCCTGGAATGTCATCAGCTGCTGTGTCTAATAAAAAATGAAGTCGTGGTATTATCAATTGCTATAATCTATTCGCCTGGAATCTGATTTCATTTCGGCTTACCTCTGACTTTCAAGGTTGCTATGAAATGGTAGTCCACACAAGTGTTTATCGTATTTTCTGTTTGCTTTTTTAGTGCTTGGAGAACCGACTGCTTGGCCATAAGTTGCGTCAATTATAGTTCCGTTGAACCACATGAGAGGTGCCGGAATGATGGTGTTCTTGGTTAACATGGCTTTGTCTAGATGAGTTGTGGGAGTGTGTTTGCTACAGGACCACCCATACAGATCTCAGAGTGTACTAAGTTGAGAATACTCCGTACTTAGGCGCAGAGGTATGTCTTGTCTACCCCAGTTACCTAAGGCATGCTAGCCAAGGTGAGATTGCTTTATTTATCCCGACTCTCCATGAGAGCCTTCTCTCCTGTGACCTCCCTGACATTAGGTATCACACATAATGTGAGAAAGCTAGATATGGCAGAAAACAGCATTGTGAGTTTCCACAGGTCATGTTCCAAGCTACCACTTGGGCTGTGAGTTGTATCTGTAAAATGAGTCATCCAGTTGACGTCTAAGAAGCAACCACACGCAACATGGCAGGGCACTTGTACGAGTATCAGACGACAGGAAGCATCTCTCTGTTGATGGTGTAGACAACAATCGTGTATTTTGATTGTGAGACTCTTGAATTTATAAAATGTATCCGTAGCGTCCCAGTTCAACGAGGGGTTTTCTCTGTGGTAGGCAGAAGGGTCCGCCTGGGCTTGGGGACGAGAGACGAGAAGAGCGAATGGTTGAGCGGCATTTGAACACGGATACGAAAAGTGAGGGATCGGAATTGCGAGGCCCAAAAGAGGCCGTATTCCGCCAAAGATTTGGATGCTGCTGCAGAACGCAGAATTGCGGCCCCGATTCATGCCCTGTCGGTCCTGCCTGTGTTCAATCAAACCCTCAACAACGACAGCAAAAGTGGAGTGGCTCTCTTTCACATGGGAAAAGAAGAGCACACAGTTCTAGATTACAGGCAGAGAGCAAGGTAGCTCGGTATCGGCTCATGGATGTTTTCAATCTTTCTCACACAAATCCTTGCCATTATGAGAACCGATACCTGTGGTGGGAAAGATACCTCTGCTGGAGATGGAAAAATAAGGGACGTATGACAGTGCAGGAAATTGGAGTGTGTATGAAGAGGTCAACTGATTCATACTCCATCCAGTATTGCTAGGTATCCCACTCTCATCCTGTCAGTTTGTGTTGGGGAAGGCACCTTTGAATGAGGTGGGCTGAGGTACATCCATTACGTAGCCGCTTGGCAGCAGCTGGCCCGCTGATCACCCACGTCCTGCATCTCCAAAAAACCGCAACAGCGAGTGGAAAGATGAGGCGGAATGGAAGAGATAAAATGTCTACTACCTTAGTGGAACAGAGTGAACAATTCGACACGTGAAGCCGTCTTCCTTCATTACCCATTCCCCCACAAGGGTCAGCAGTCAGTGTAACCCCACGGTCAGCCCTGGACCAATACCGTCAATACCGGCCGGCATCAAACCGTTCTTGCGGCTTGCCATACCTAGGATCCCAGTGCTACCACGGTCCAACCCGGCCAAACCCAGCAGATTTCCATAGTGTTGAGCTGCTGCTGCTGCTGCTGCTGCTGCACCTACCTCCAGTCACTACAGTCTGCTGCTCGCTCCCCTCTGCTTGCTCAGGTTCCCTTCCGCGGCTTCCACTCGCGCCTATACCTAACCTCACCTCACCTTGCTTTAACTATCCGTACCTGGGTACTGGACTACTTGCCGACACCTCCAATCACAGACCAGGCCACTGTCCTTTTCATCCATTGCCTTTCAACGCTACCGCATCCCGGCCGCCCTCGATACCTCCAACTCCCGAAAGCCCGACTGACCCTTTTGCGTCTTTCCTCCCCTCTCAAGGTCTCAAGGTCCAATCGACAGGTTTGCGCTGACGGCCACATATCACTTTAGCGTCTGTTAGCTGTCGACGGACGAACCTTTTTCACCAGCGCTACCACCTCGCGCTTTCATTTTCCTAGGCCTCGTTCGCTCATGGCAAGCTGATTGTTGCCGTTCTTTGGACTTGGGGGGAAACCCATCTGGACAGCCCACCGGCTTGCATTCCCCGACTACGAACACGACCACGACCACGACAGACATCATCGAGCATCTCAACCTCACGCAATCCCACCAAACACCACAGACTCAGCGGCACCCTTTTGAGACGATTGTCAATCCTACACTCGCTTCTTCCAACTGCGGTGTATTCGAAATACTCGCTCGACACCCGTTTCTCCTAACGCGACTGCTAATACATCGCCTCCTTCGTCGCGCGGAACGTCTGGAACATTCCTGACCACCGAAACCACCCCTTACTATCGACCCTCGACGTCTCCTGAACCCTCCCACACCCGCATCGCAACCCGCCGTCGACCCTCCATGCCTCATGGATTGCATATCCTATCAAAGATGAACTCCCTGAATATCATCACCTCTCGCGTCTCTCCGCCGCCAAGTCCGGTCGCCTCGCGATCCAACTCCATTGGTTCCTTGGGATTGGCCGTTCAACCTGACAGCGACGAGCATGGCGGCGAAGGCGCAGAGAAGCAGGGCGACGACCAAGACGAGGATATCTTCCCCCTCGAAAAGTCAGCTTTCGAACAGCGCAACGACGCCCATGGAGCACTTGATCTTGCAAGCGAAGCTACGCCGCTCATAGGAGGGGAATCGAAAGAAGCAGGGTTGAGATCAACCTCATGGCACTCATTGCCTCGGCGCATCGCTGCTGGCTTCATCAATTCCCTCCGTTGGGTGTTTTCCACCCTTGCCGCCCCGGGCGTGTATCTGATTGCCTGCCTTTACGACGATGCAGGAGATTTTTCGCCCTTTTACCCGCTCAAGAGGCTATTTGGCTTGCACAATAGAAACAACAAAAAGCTCGCGACAGACTTTGCTGGTTCAGTAGACGAAAAGTCGGGTCGGCAGGGCAGCGCCGGATATGGAGGGGTTGCGTATTCAAGACCAGTGGGATCATCAGGTTCATCTTCTTCAGGCATATCCTCAGAATCAGACTCGGACGCCGATCGTCGACGCCGGGGCTCCTCCGCTCGACACTCACGTTCAAAGTCTGCAGCGGAAGAGATTGCGCCAGCGCGGAGATCTATTCGTATCAAGCTACACAGCGAAGACGCTCTTCCCCAGCGCAAGCACCGAAAGACACAGTCTGCGGCAGCACGGCCCAAGGGCAGTGGTGAATCTGGCTCTTCCGACATTTCTGCGCAACTCAAGTCTCCGACGTCTCCCGCAGGCGCGCTGACGAGATACCCAAAGACACCGGCCCCTCCTCGACCCTTGATTCCTCGACGGCAGCCGTCATACCTGAACCTCGAGCCTTCGACCGACCCCAAGTACCAAAAGACTCTGATTCTGGACCTTGACGAAACTCTGATTCACAGCATGTCCAAGGGGGGACGCATGAGTACGGGACATATGGTCGAGGTCAGGTTGAACCAAACGTACGTCGGTGCCGGAGGCCAAACATCGATCGGACCGCAGCATCCCATTCTGTACTGGGTTAACAAGCGCCCACACTGCGATGACTTCCTCCGTCGGGTAAGAACAGCCTAAGATGATTGGACGAGTGCTTGGCGCTAATCGTGTGATGAAGGTTTGCAAATGGTACAATCTCGTGGTTTTTACGGCCTCGGTCCAGGAGTATGCGGATCCCGTAATAGATTGGTTAGAGGCAGAGAGGAAATTCTTCTCGGCGCGATACTATAGACAGCACTGCACATTCCGACAGGGGGCCTTCATCAAGGATCTTAGCTCTGTTGAGCCGGACTTGAGCAAGGTCATGATCTTGGACAACAGTCCATTGAGTTACATGTTCCACCAAGGTGTGTAATGCCGGCATGCGGTCTAGTTGTGGAAATTCGGCTAACATGCGTTGCTAGATAACGCCATCCCAATCCAAGGCTGGATTAACGACCCGACAGACAATGATCTCTTGCATCTAGTTCCGCTGCTCGAGGGTCTTCAGTATGTGTCGGACGTGAGGGCGCTACTTGCATTGCGCGGAGGCGAAGATGGTCAGCATATGGCGTAGAATTGGGTTGGGACTGTAGAAGGAAATCTGGTGTACTGGCATGGAGTTAGCAAAGCGAAATACACCAGCGGCTTCAACTTCGCGGTGCAGCGCTGTATTAATAACATTTGGTAAAGGGATCGGTAAGAGGAGTTATGAGCGGCACGACTGCCAATGTCGGTACGATTCTGTCAAGCTTCAGGAATACATGCCAGGCCACCAGCGTTTTTGATCGGTTGCCGACGTCCAGCGAAATGCATGTAATGTGTGCAAAATAGAGCCATGGTGTTTTTGAGTGATTAAGGTTGTTTTGTTGACAATGGTAAGGTAGACCATTGAGAACTGGAGAACGTTGAGCAATGGCGAGCTTAAACACAAGGTAGACGATACTTCGGACATTCCGTGTTTCCTTCCTTGCCTTGTACCTGAGCTAGAGCAGCTGTATTATGCACAGTGAGAGACGAAATTCCAAGCTGCAATGATACCATCCGTACGTCAGGCAGCTTCAGCTACCCTTGCTAATGCGGGTTTCTAGACTCGGCCGAAGAGCTACCTTGAGGCACATTGCAGAAGTTGGCAGGGCCGTAGGGAGAAAAAAAGAGGCGCAGTTTTCATGGGCAAAAGTTGAAATGGCATTGGTCTGGAGTGCCTGAGCATCATTTGCCTCGGGCATGGGGTGATAGATGGGGGGGCAATTTGCACCAGCACCAGCACCAGCCACAGGGGAACCGAGAATCACATCTCGATCATAATTGCTCCAGATTTTCGTCAATCTTCTCCACTGTGTTTGTGTTTATGTACAAGGGCGGGTGAGAGCGGGAGCTTGAGATGAAGGGCAGGGAGTCGTGGAGGACTCGCTCCGGGACCTTGTTCGCGGAAAACTCCACGCGGGCGGAAAGCAAAAGCTCGAGCTGATTGAGGAAGATGTGCTAATCCCAGACGGCCAGAAGGCGAACGACGGGACGGGCTAGATACGGATAGCTTGGGGTGTACGGAGTACATGCGGGCCCCAGGGAGAGATCAGAAAGGTAAAAGAGGTTCCATAAGGAAAGGTCTCGACCAATTATCGGAGCAAATATGGGGGCCAGGGCCTGGGCTTTGTGGGTTCGGCGGGGAAAGGGGTGGTGACATCATTCGACAGATGACGACACTACGACATCGACAGCTGGGCGACGTGAGAGAAAGAGGCATAGCTTGAGAGTTTTTCTTTGGAGAAGCTTGGGACAACATACACTGACACATCCAATTGAAGAGGTGAGCTGAGCTGAGGGAAGAGACGTGGGAGAGAAGAGTGTGAGAGAGACGGGAGAGAGAGAGAGCTCTGTGACATGTCTTTCTGTAGCGAAATGCCCACCCCTGCCTTGTACCATGTCCAGCTACGCTCTTAGTACGAAAGTAGCTTCATGCTTTCCACGCTTCACGCTGTGTGTTTTTCTTCTGGCCTGAGGGAAAATCAGGTCCAACCGATGATGGAATGAGACCTCGATCTGGCCCCTTCCTTTCGCGGCGCCAGAGGTACCACCACCACCGGCTAAGGTAGCTTCCCAACACGCTTCCCTCTCCTTGTTTCGCCCTGGGACGAACGAGCAGGTACGAAGGACAGACACTACGCACTTGCCTTGCTCCGGTTACCTCCTTTGCCTCCTTTGCATTGCAGAGGCTGAGGTCACATGTGGCTCACACACACACACACGCCGCCCAGTTCTCTCGCTCGCTCTCTCTCTCCCTTAACACATAAAAGCCTTTGCCCTCCCACCCATCTCGCTCGTAGTTTCTGTTTACATCACCTCAATTGATTCTCTTTTTTTAATCACAATAAGATACCCCAGAAATCAGCCATCATGTCTCTGCACTGTAAGTCGCTTTCCTGTTCCTCTGTGGAAGAGAAGCTGGAGGAAGCATCATGCTTTTCCTCTGTAGCTTCGCTAAGCTACCTCACCTCACTCTCTCATCTCAATCCCGCCAGGGAGAATGCGCCTTTGCTGGACACGAGGGCAAGCCTTACCTCTGTTCATGGACTATTAGCTGACAACCTTTCGTGACAGACCTCCCCCCCGTCAAGCCTTCGGCTATCGCCCTCGGCACCATCTTCAACCACACGGCTGAGCTCGCTGGTACGTGAAATGATTCTCACCAAGCTCCCGGCCAGACGGCGTGCGCCATTACATGACAAAATCAGCTGACCCAAGCTCCTTCCCTTCAACAGTCTTGACCCCCATCTTCGGCCAGACCTACCAGCGCGCCAAGGCCGCCAACACCAAGGAGGAGTTCGCTCGCTCCAAGGAGGCTCAGGGTGCCGCCGTCGCCTGGGGAACATCCCTCGTCGGCTCTGCCCTGCAGTCCTACGGTGTTGGTGCTCTCATCAACGCCACCGGCACCCTGTCCTACAAGGGCGCGGCTTACCTCGGCTCTCTCATCTTCTTCGCTACCTCTGCTCCCGGCGTATGTCATACTCTCTTGGCCCTTGATCATGCCTCAACTAACGGAGACATAGTACATCTCCCAGGTCTTCGTCGAGAAGCGCCCTGTCGACACTGTTGGAGTCAGCGTCCTGGCCAAGGTCATCGAGACTGTCGGTCTGTCAGTCTTCCTCACCTGGTGGGGAACCCGCACCAACCCCTTCGACTAAAGGGTTTAACGTATTATGAATGATTGAGCAATCCTGAAAGACGGATTGCTTGTGTGCTATTACCGTTGGGTCGGATGGGATGAGGACATGGAGTTCAAAGATAGTCAGCAGTTGCGGCTGGGGACATTGTCATGTACCTAACTTTTACGTCTCAGCCATGATCCCCTTAATCGATCAAATTACCTGATACCCTCTTGCCTTTATGCTTGCACTACTGTGACGTATTACCATACTGCCAATATTTCTTGATATTGTGACTTCGTTCTTTACGTGTAACAACAAAAGTCTTGGATCTTCTAAGTGAACACTACCGTTGTTCTAAGGATGTTACCTCAGACCACTCAGTACTCTTAAAATATGTCATGCTAATTGACTGTGACCGGGCACGAATCCCGACGGCATGCACAAATTCGCTCATCGGGAGCAGTTCGAGAGTTCTGTGAGACAGTACAGACCACTCGTTGATGATTCGGCAACATTATCACGTCTTGAACGGCCGATGTACTTCACCAGCAGGACGTTATGCCTTGAAAGGCCATCACTTGAGGAGTCACATTGCCAAAGACAGAAGAACTCCCGACATCTCGTGTCAAAGGGAGCCAATGAAGGCAGAAAAAAAGTTCCTCCACACCTCCGCACCCTTCAAGGTTCCAACGGAAGTTGTAATGATGGTAAATCATTTATTTGTGTTCTTCATTTCTCTCGCAAGAGACAGAGCCTCAAATGAGAGAAAAAGAGAGGAAAGAGTAGTGCAAACAAAGTGTTACTATCCCCAATGCCCAAAAGTGCCCAAGAACGCCGTATCTCTTCATCTTTTCTCAAACCAGCCAACAAGCTTTTCTTTAACCCCCCATATATTGTGACAATTCATCATTTCTTGGTTGGATAATGTCGTGATGGTTCCGTCCCATGTCTGATGATGATGATAAGACAAAAGACCAATCGAAAAGCCAAAGCAGAGCAAGTTTATGCCCAGAAAGACTGCTTCGCAGTCTCCTTCTGCACAAGCTTCACAAGCGCAGCGTAGACCTCGGAGTAATCCTCGCCATCATCCTCCTCGTCGTCACCCTTGCTCTCGCCAGACGCCTTCTTCTCGGCCTTCTTGCTGTCGGCGGCGGAGCGCTTCTCCGAGACCATGACCACCGAGGTGGGGCGCTTCGTCTTGGCCGCGGCGCCGAGCTCGGCGCGGGAGGTGACGAAGATGTAGGGGACGTTGTGGTCCTCGCAGAGGACGGGGAGGTGGGAGATGACGTCCATGGGGGAGATGTCGCCCGCAATAATAACGACGCCGGGGAAGGCGGTGTTGCCGGGTCCGGCGGCGGGGGATTTGCGGAGGGTCTTGACGACTTCTTTCACGCCGCGCTTGAGGGTGTTGTTCTTGGCGGCTGTAGGGGGGTTGATTGTTAATAATTGCGTCTATGACAGTAGAGAGGAAGAGAGAGAGAAATAGAAAACGTACCCTTGCGAATGGACTTCATAACCTTCTTCATAGCCTTCTCATCAGCCAAAGGCACGGCGAACGGCACGAGGGCGCCGACGACGGGGAGGCCATCAGCAACGGCAACGGCGGTGGCCTCGCCGCTGGTGACGGTGGTGGCGGCGGCGTCGGCCTGGAGGTGCTCGTCGAGGGCGCGCTCGAGCTTCTCCTTCTTGTCCTTCTTGTCCTTTTTATCCTTCTTGTCCTTCTTGATGGCGCCGTCGGACACGGAGCGCTTCTTGTCCTTCTTCTCCTTGCGGTCGGGCTTCTCGGCGGCCATTGTGACGGTTTTGTTCTGTTCTGTCCTTTTGAAATAGAAAAGGGGGGGGGGGGCGATTGGCGGGATTGGCGACGGCGAGGGGAATTCGAATTGGGCGGGCGGCGGTCGTGGATTGCAAGCTTTCGGCTTGAAGTCGATGGGCTCAATTTTTTTTAGTCCTGTAGGCCAATGCAACTTTTTTTTCTGGGTAGCCCCACCTTTGCAGGTGTGCGATTGGGGTCTTTCGGTGCAATCGTATTTCCGTGCCGAGCTGCTGTTCACCGTAGGTTGGATCCTGGCGAAATGGTCACGTGAGAATGATTGGCCAATCACGGCGCAGACATTGAGCAAATGTCAGCGCAATGTGATGGCGGGAGACCACGATTCAACTTTGGTTGGAGGGATGATACAAACGCACTGGAGAGTAAGGCTAACTGTTTCTGCTAGATTCAGGCTGGTTTACTAGTAATTGGGTGGTTATCGACATGGCAAAGTAGGGGAGGGTGTCGTGACATCTTCGGTTGAGGCGCTCGCCTTGATGATTTCAGGCCTCAGGAAGTTCCGTTGCAAATTGAGAAACGAGTTGACATCTAGTCATGGAAAGTACGTCTTCAATCATTGGGCATGTGATATGCATAACCGTCCAAATGGGGCTCTATTCCATGTCTCCCCCTCTACGTAGTTGATATACACGTGTTTTGACACAGGGAATCGTTGTCCGCCTCTAGCACTCGTCGTCCGCCTTCTTCACAAAAGAATATTTACTCCTCGTCACCAAACTCGGCGCGGCCCTGCTTGGAGTTCAGGTAGTGGTTGCTGCATCGATTGTTAGCGTTAGGCGTTTACCCCATATCGAATTGCCCTTGCTGTTGTTGTTACAACCGGGTCTTTGAGGATGACTGACCGGTGGGTGGCCCAGTCCATGATGTACCAGCCGGCGACCAGGGGAGGAAGGAAGTAGAGGACCTGGTGGCTGAAGCGGCGCCAGGTGTTGAAGACGGCGTCGTGGGCGGCGCCGGCGAAGGGGTTCTGACGGTTGGGGGTGATGCCGTAGGTGATGATACCTCTCTGCTTCTCGCCACCTGAAGACTTTTGTCAGTGTAATGTTCGATTCGGAATGCGTATCGTTTGTGCATCGTGTCGGCCGTAGGCTTTTGAACGAGTTCCTCCCCTTCATTCCCTCATGTTCAATCCCGAAAGCCATTGTCCATCGTTCAACCGCGTCGCCATCGTAATTCGACATCGAGAAAGTCGGAAAAAGACATACCAATGTGTCCCCACCAGCCGAGGTAGCTATTCAAACGTCAGCGAGATGTTCAAACAATGCAATTGGGAGCGGTGCATGGCGCGGCGGGCAGAAGGAAGCCTCATGATCTTTCCCATACGGAAAAGCCCGCACGCCCCTTCCCGTTCGCCCGTTCAATTGACCTACAACAAGAAATTCACTTACTGAGAGTACTTTCCGTGGGGGACGCTGGGTCCTCCCATAAGAGCTTGCGTAGGTCTCATCGTGGCGGTTGTGCTGTGGTGGACGGTGATGTGCAACACGGGTTGGGATATTCTGGCAGTAAATCGGAGAGGGTCGAATCGTACGAGGTTCAAATCTTGTCCTTGAACCTTTCCTGCCGAACCCGAAAGCTGAGGCGCACGTCCCAGAACGGCTTAGCGCATTCTTCGCACTCGAACCGTCACCACCCATCCGACCACCCCGGTCACCCAGTGTGCCAAAATTCCATGACGGAGCTTACCGCCGCCGCATTCTTGTGAGAGAGAGGAGCTTTCGGCAAGCTTCAGTCCTGTACACTGCACCACCAGCCCACCACCAAGCAAACGACTCCAGACGCTCCAACTCGGATAGCCCGCGATACCCTCCAGCGAACTTCGAATCGCTTAACGCAAACACCGAGACTAAATAATCACACATTTTCTCCCTCGCCCGTTCCGACATAATGGCTCAAGCTCTGGGCTTTGCGTACCGCATGGCCGTCCCTGCGGCCATTGGTATCGCGGTCGTGCAGTCGTCAATCTACGATGTCAAGGGTGGATCCAGAGCAGTCATCTTTGACAGGATGTCCGGTGTCAAGGATGCCGTCATCAACGAGGGCACGCACTTCCTCGTGCCGTGGCTGCAGAGGAGCATCGTCTTTGACGTGCGGACGAAGCCGAGAAACATTGCGACGACGACTGGCAGCAAGGATCTCCAGATGGTCAGCTTGACCCTCCGCGTGCTGCACCGGCCCGAAGTTCAGGCCCTTCCTAAGATCTACCAGGTGAGCCCTCCGTAGAATGACTTTACTTCTGCTGGGAAAAAAAAGTATACGCAATGCTGACCAACCACTCATCCTCTACCCAGAACCTCGGCCAAGACTACGACGAGAGAGTCCTCCCCTCCATCGGAAATGAGGTCCTCAAGTCCATCGTCGCCCAGTTCGACGCGGCCGAGCTCATCACCCAGCGCGAGGCCGTCTCCCAGCGCATCAGCTCCGACCTCCGCAAGCGCGCCGCCGAGTTCAACATTGCCCTCGAGGACGTCTCCATCACGCACATGACGTTCGGCAAAGAATTCACAAAGGCCGTCGAGCAGAAGCAGATTGCCCAGCAGGACGCCGAGCGCGCGCGCTTCATTGTCGAAAAGGCCGAGCAGGAGCGCCAGGCCAACGTCATCCGCGCCGAGGGCGAGGCCGAGAGCGCCGAGACGATTAGCAGGGCGATCGCCAAGAACGGCGACGGCCTCGTGCAGATTCGAAAGATTGAGGCCGCAAGGGATATCGCGGCGACGTTGTCGTCGAATCCGAATGTCGCGTACCTGCCTAGTGGCGGTAAGGGCGGTAACCAGATGCTGTTGAACGTTGGCCGGCCGTAAGTGTATTGCGGAATCGCTACGGGGACGTGGGTGAGTGAGTGAAAAAAGGGCGACGCTGTATTATAGACTTTGAAGGCAAGTCACCGCTTCAATAAATGTAATCATAGGGCAATGAAATTCTGCCGCCTTTTCCACACACTTTTGTTTTGTGCTGTACGCTTGGTGTTTGTGAATGTTGCACGCACGCGCTGGGCTGGAGAATTCATCGTGGAGAGTAGCACTTAGCTCAGCCTTGTAACTAAACATCAACGTCGAGAAACTCATATACGGGCAACAGAATGGTTTTGAGAAGCCGAACCCTCTTCTGTGTTTGAATGTGTGTGATAGCACCATTCACACATCCAGAGACGAGTATCGATGTTATCAAAGGGGGGAGTCGATTCTTGATTACCAACAATAAATTCTGTCCCATTGCTTGAAATGTTTTGCACCCCTTTTACCTTTGACATCCTATAGAGTCTAGTCGAATGATAAGCACAAGTCTCGTTGGTAGTTTTAAGCACACCTCTATGATATGGGCTTTGGCCACTTCATGATTCCCTCTTTCTTCCCCCTGAGCTACCTGCTTGCTCAGTCCCTCTCACCTCC